TATGCTCGGGATAGGCCACAACACCTTACCCTTCTCGGTCACGTTCAGTAATCGATCTACCTAAGTGCCACTGATATACAAAAGTAGTTAATATGAATAAACAAATCAACTAAAATTATGTACAACGGATTGAGAGGATTTCTCCACCCTACCCACTCTGCAGCAAAGTTTTCAGGGAATACGAATAGGTTCCATTAGTTAAGAACTTCCGTTTAACTGTTACCACAAAAACCATCTGACCATGACAACTAGCTTATCGTGCCACCTCCCCCCCCCCCCCCCNCAGAGTAGCCTTTCATGAAATTTCGACTCTGGAAGCAATGAAAAACCTTGTGACTGATGTCTAGGAGCTTCCCATCTCTTTCAAAAATACAAGGGTAGAATCACTAATGCAGCTTTTCTCTTGTATCTTTTTTATCTTCATTTGTCCTAATTTAATTATATAGCTAAAATACCAAACAGTATAATGTATATAAGCTATTTTGACCTCAAAAATGTATATTAATACATATATGTATTACACTACTAAGTTTCAGACGCTCTCGCCCGACATCTTCTTGAAGGAGCCGATACGGCCGGTGAAAAACCGGGTGGTGTCTCACAACCGAACGCTTCCTTATCCGCTTCGGTGGCTATTGTAATCGTTATATCACTCGTTAGCGTATCACTTTTAATTACTGGTAAGTTTCCAATCGTAGCCTTATATACTTCGCCTATGAGAAGTTTATACCATTGACAAGCTCTCTAGAATCCCTAGATCTATCTCTAGAATTCTGCTTCCCAGGTCACTTCGAGCCATAAGATTATATTGTACTGCAGGGCTTTCAAAACTTTTGAATGTTGTTTGAAAAGCAGCAGTCACCCTTTCTAAATTTTCTACAAAATCCCCGCATCTTTCACTCCCTCTGATCCAACGGTTAACCTCTAGCGAACGCCCCGCCCCTTTTACATTTGCTTTGGATAGATGGATAGATGTTTTGAAAGGAGAGTAATTCGCTGGGCCCGCTTGTTGCACGAATCAATCAATACCTAAGTCCCCGCCTGTTGTATGAATCTATTGCTAGAACACACCATCATGCCAAAAACATTGCCGTGACATACGTTCGAAACGATGCAATTTATCTTCTAGTCCATTTCTTTAATTTTTAAAAAAATCCCTGAGTCTAATATCCACGATTCCAGGTATCATTATTGTCGCAGTGACGATCGATCCGTCGGGCGGTGATGACGACTCGGACATCGAATGGGATAGCCCCAGGGTGGGTAGACGCGGTTTTGACTCGCTCGTTATGCCTCGTTTCATGGGATTACCCACATAAAACCGAAAGTAAGAGTCAACCAATGATAGTAATGGTCCTAATCGATAATGTCCTAATCAAGAGCTTCGTTTTTTCCTATTCACAGCATGTGGATGAGTCAACCGATCCGTTACACGATGATGATCACGACGGCAAACCGAATTACTTCTACTCGGGTCAGATCTTTCACGAGGTGTGATCGCATGTTCGACGTTACTTTGCCTTATATGAAAAGAAAAAGGCCTACATACATTCCCAGATTTATATGAATTGTACAGATTGTATACGACAGATAAGATATTGTATTCACTTTTATAAAGAGTCATAGAAAGTTGTTAAATAGTCACTCTGTCCTAGATTGCCTTTGTATAATTTTTTTTTATAATGTACTAAACAAATTTTATTTGCCACCTAAAACACCCTCAGATGGAAGAACTTTTATACTGCCAAATTAAATAATTCGGCTGAACATCTACAATCATTTTACGTCGTGGAATTCAGGGGTGTGACAAAAGGTCATTCGACGCACGCGACATATCGCCTGTTGGGAGATGTTCAATAGTTCAGCGTTTTACGCATCAGAACAAGTTCTAACATACTCAACAGAGGTCATCAAAAGAATCACACACGATTGAACAAGTACCGAACCGCCGCACCGTTTGCCGTGCGCGGCGTGACCGTAGCAGCTTACGGTTGTTCTGCCTATGTTTTCTGTATAAAAAAGTAGGGTCCCTTCCATAATAAGCATCTATGGAAAGGTGCACAGCTTTGGTTGCGTGAAGGTAAGCCCAATGCCCGTAAAACAGAGAGCCGAGCTCGAATCCTGGCTGAACCAAAAGGCTTTGAACATAACTCGTCATAATACGGCAAGGTCCAGGTCGACAACCTCTCCATACTTCGATGGGAAAGGAAGAAGTCCGCATTTATGCGTACTTACAGCTCAAGATTATTTCTACCCCATGTAATAGAAGCCAAAAGGCATTGAGTTTTGGGCAACACGATCAGCTTCGGATACTGTAGTACCTGAACCCATACTTGTACTTACCGTGAGCCATGCTCTTGTCCATTCCCTACACAGTCCCACTCGATATTCCTCAATCTCTCCACGATATGAGTAAACACAAATAATGTATAAAATTAGATAAGGCTAGTGACCACTGCATACCGTAAGAAATTAATTCTCTAACGCATCTGGCACAAAACCTAAAGTAACCGTTCATAAACCGCTACTTTCCTGCCCCTGATCACATCCGAATCAACTAATTATTTTGAATGATTAATTAGCATAACTAGTTACAATTCATACTTTCCATTTATTGATAAAGCCCTGCCATAATTGTAATTGTAACAATCCCACTGTGATTTCACTGGTCTATTTTTCGTATTTATTTCTAATTACTTTGGATATTCCGCTATGTGATAAATTCAGGTGATTTTTCAGAGTAGTAAATGATTCATTCGTTTTATCATACAAATTCATACAATTTAGAGTTAATCAAGGCCTTAGCTTGGGGAAGTGTAGGGATCAGTGAGGTAGTGAAGTCTGCAATTGCACTTAAAACATGAAGAGAAGGGAATAATACAAGAAAAAAGAACTTATTCAGTCTACAGACGGGGAGGTGAGCATCAAGTAAATATAAGGGTAATACCGTACACTTACAGTAAATATCTCCTAACTAGTATTCAGCTACACAGTCCATGGAGACACGTTTAATAACACGGGATAGTCAAAGCACCAAACGATGCTAATCAAATGCCAGGATGAGGGTTATGATGGGAAATGGTAGAAAAAGAATCATAGTCTCCTGATTTTTTACAAAACCTAATTCAGGAACTTTGAAGTAAACTCGTACAAACTGCTACGACCTTCTGGGGAGTTAAGTAGTTGTTGTGGTGGCAGACTATTCATAGGCCATCCCATGGGGCAGCCACCATTACTAGTACACCTTTTCGAGCACGTCACAAGATGATTAACATTGTTTTTTTTNTTTTTTTTCGGAGAGGAAGAAAATTTACGACTTAAAAGTACTGTACTCTATTTGATCTAGATGAAATACGGTATAGAGGGTTTGCTTAACTGGGCAGGTCCCTGGGAACAGTGGCCAAAGAGAATACCACATTTTACCTACCGTAACTACAGCCTATGTGGTTAGCAGCCTGCTCACGAAAAGGTTCATAGCAGCACTCCACTGCTTCAGTTGTTGCTACCGAATTGAAGTAACAGCAACTCGAGTAGTACGATACTGACTATAGTCGTGAGATAATGAAGAAGCAAGTGAGTGCTGAGGGAATCTTAACGAACACAGACAGCTAAGCTTTTCTCTATGATGCTACCTACAATTTTTCAGTGGCACGTTCAAATCGAGGCAAGAATAAGCCAAATTTGTATTCGATGCCACTGAACGTGGCAGCCGCTAGACGATATCCACCAACATGATCCGGATGCAATGATGTCTCGTCCATAATCTTTTTCGTGGTGGCAGACTGAAAAGTTTAACTTCGACTTAATCCTTTAAAGAAGAATGAAACTGTCTGAGAATATCCTGGAGAAGGGAGCTACTTAAATAGTCCTATTTTGGAAATAGAACGTATTTCATTTTCACTAAGAATTACGGTGAAGTTTGGAAGCATTCTTGATCTACGTAATATTTGGACGGTCAGCCCAAGTAGTGGTCTGCCGTTAGTGTTCCCAACCTCCTCAACAAAATATACAGGCAACAAAATATTCAGGAAACACTTGAAGGCAATCCACAGCACCACTTTTTGCTACCTCACTCCCGCTCCACCCCGCTGTCATCCAAACTTTGTTAGATGAATAGGACTTGAAGGTTGTCAAACAGCCTTCATACAGCTCGCTCTTTTCAATGATTTGCTTCGAAAACGATGATTCGCTTCCAAAACATCGTGAATTCCCACTATTTACTCAAATTTCGCCAATGATAAGAGCAGATTTAAAGTAACAAAAGATTAACAAACAGCATCACCATCTGGATAATAACAGTGGACAGAGTTCGTTTTCAGAACAAATGAGGATATCAAGAAAAACTGTGGGACTGAGGAAGGGACAAGTGCATGGCGTAATTGCATGAGGTTACCGTACACATATCATTCTGCCCCTATCAGCATTGTGTTCCAGGAACTCAAGGGAATCTTTCCAGAATAAATATCGGAGTGTTAAGTTTTCAAATCTTGGAGTACCAATTTTTCAGCTTGCATATCACTATGGCAATTCTGCTTTTCACTCATCACTTAAATCAGAAGAGAATAAGCGCTCAAGCATACCTACTGCTGCCAAAGTAGATCGGTCTCGTAAAAATTTCTTAATATGAGACAGATAACATTCGAACAAACTCGGAAATCCAGTGTAATGGGCCTTCGATGCAGAAAAAGAAGAAGAAAATCAACATGAAGTTCAAAAAACACTCACCTCTGATCCGGTAGGACGACTTCCACCAAAATCGACATAGAAGATCCGTTGGAGTAACTGAAATTCCAAGAATCGCGAGAGCGTCAAGCCGACTGCCAATAATCGCAGTACAGAAGCAAAACATCAAACAAGAGCTCTATCTGATTCAAAGTCCTTGAACTCGTACCTCATAGGCAAGCAAGGTGACGGCAAACTGTGGACTCGAGCGACAGACGCGGGCGCCTGTTCCTTTCCAAAACGCTGCCGGACCTTCTTCTTTCATGATTTTACGGGCGCAATCTAAATTATGGATAGTGTCAATGAGTTTCAAGCAATAAAATACCAAATATTAAACAAAGAGTAAAAGGATATGTTTTTGAGGGGTCTCCCTGAAATGAGCCCCTACCAAACATCTTTTCAGTCTACTGGAGATTTCTGTAGCATGTTGGACTAGAGGAAGTTTTGGTGAGCTAGTTGACGAAGACCATTTTTCTTACTTAACCGTAAAAGCTTCGTAGTCCAACCGTATTAAATTGCCATGGGTCAGGCACTCCACCACCGTCCTCTGTCAAAGCTACCTGGCTACTTGCGCAGCGAACAGGGTGACAAGCATAAATACTTCTAATATAACAGAATTCAAAAACAAATGCCGCTCTTGAAGCAACCAAACTAATATAACAGAATTTAAAAACAAATGCCGCTCTTGAAGCAACCAAATTCTACCAAGGTGATCACAGCGCCGCATTTCGATAGAACGGAAGACAAGGAAGGGACTGGGGATTGGACTGTGGATTAACACCAACTATGTTGTGTCTCTGCGCATCACAAAACAGCAAAATCAGAGTGACTGAATTCTGATCTCACCGCCTATTCCGATAGGTATCGTTACTTATTTGCTCGAACCATCTTTTTATTGCCTATCACAATATAAATTGAAAAAATCAAAAAATAAATTTTATCACTTGCTTCGCCTCCAAGAAATACGAATGGATGTAGTAAGTGAGAAAGTGCTAGAAAGAAAAATCGATTGAATTTATTTCACCAACCGATGACTCCAGTATAAGTGGTCTGTCCGGCCCTGGCCGCTACTTGCAGCCTTGTCTTGATGACGTCAGCCGGGGTTACCAAACCCGCAGCTGGAACACCCGCAATGAAGGCAGATGCGAACAGAGAGCTGGGATGATTGATACCCTAGACTACTTATAATCGAGGTTGCTAACAAGAAATTAGCATGATTTGAACTATAAGGATTGAATTTGAATGATAAACTCACATCTACATCAGCTGTGTGTAATTTTGCGTGAGCATATGCCGGGAAATATATAGCCGAAAAGGGAATGTCACGAAGGAAACACGCTCGAGCACCTTTGTACAAACCGAAGAATCCCAAGTCTTTCAACACTGTGAATACGCCTATCTGAAAATAAGCTGTTTAAAAAACACTATTCTTGGAAATCAGGAACTTCGCCTGAAATGTTCGTATTGATCAAATCTCTGAGAATAAGTTCACTATAACTATAGCTGCTCAAAGTCAAATAACTATTTACAAACCGATATGAATAGTGATCGAAAATTACTTCATTAAATGATAATAACGATAATTTAACGAGTATAAACGCTTATCTTAATATAAACACACGTTTTTTTTTGCAGTAATGGTTTTTTGCATACACTAGATGTGACCGAATAGATCCAATTATAATAGTGAACCATGATAAAGCTTGGAGGACGAATTTTTGGAGTAAAAATGTAATTTTAAGGCCCAGCCTTATCTTGAAACCTCTGTTCCCACAATGAAATCGAAATGAGAATCTGGGAAACAAAATATGTTATTATATGAATTGTTATTGAATGATCACAGAAGCAACTTCTCCAATAAGCCAACTTTTGCAAAGATTCGCTGTGGGACCTCTTTTTACGATGCGACGGCCATGTTCGAACCTTACTAGATACGCCATAATAACAAAAAGAAAACTACAAGGAGAATATGTTGCAAATGAAGTTAAAAAGCACACCTTTTGCGCTGATTGAATTTCGCCGGCGACTTGAAGGCGAATCTTCACAATTTCCAATGGATTCGTGAATATTACCTGAACCGTGACACCCCTTTGAAAACGTTCTGAAGGCCTGCGAAGCGGCAGAATCCCTCACCTGACTGCCTCCAGCACAACCACCGGCCAACACTTCTGCCCAAAATGGAATTTTGCCTTCTTTTGTGAATTTATCTCTGACGAAATCGTTCATTGTAAGTTTAATGGCTTTTTCGGGAGCAACCCCAACGATCTGCGGTAAAAGACCACGATAAAGACCCAATAGACCTGAAGTCAGGAGCGATAGAACATTTTGCAGTGAACCGGAACTAAGCACTCCTGCACATACCCTCGAACTTGACGACTTTCTTGAAGCAATCCAAGCTGTTCTTGTACATAACTTCACCAACAAACGAGCTGGTCCTTTGGTTTTGCATCCGAGTTTTCACCAAATCTATTGGGTAGACGGCGGTGGCACCGCATGCTCCTGCTATTGAACCTAACAGGAAGCGATACGCTGACTCCAGCACCTTGAATGAAGATTTTAGAGCAGTATTTAAAGATCCTTCGAAAGAAAAATAATGGAATAAGCAGTGATGACTGAATGGAAAAGGAACCCTACCGCCGTCCCAAAGCCTCGGTCCTCTTTGCTGGCCACGGCTTTCACGTTAATAAGTCGTTCAACGTAAGAAACTCTCTTTAGACGCTCTGGATCAATAAGAATAATATCTTTCAACGCGAGAGTCTTCTTTCCTGGATGAGCAAGCTCGCACAAATGGAAAAGGATCTCAACCTTAAAAAATACTCAGACTTTAATCTAATGTGAATTCTAAAAAGAACCAATTTCAAGAAACATTCTGAGAAAAAAGTAAATACAAGCCTTGTTCTGAGTCTTTCGAAGATTTTGAATTAAGTGAGAGCTCTATACGTTTTTGACAAACATAGAAATAAGGTAGATTTGAGAACTGAATTTGAGATTTTTTCGCAAAGAAAACCATAAAATCGTAAGAGAGGATGGCAGGAGCGTTGAGGAAAATACGCTGTCACATGTGCACTCTACGGAAGTGGTAGTAACCAATGTCAACTGTAACCGGTAATAGGTCGCCTACTAACGATCAGGACTGGTCCACCCTAAATGTGATGCCCTTACTTTCAATTTATCAAAATAATTAAATCAAGGTCACGGGGAAACTTTCTAGAAGGTCTGCAATTGATTTGCTTTTCATTGAAATATCTATGATTACTTTACGTGTTTAGAGAAGAGAAAATGGGGAANCCGACACATCGCCCCTTCTTCTGAGTGTGACACCTTCCCAATATTCCCAATAAGGATAGCTGAATATGACATTAGAGCTTCGAGTGATGTGTGTGCTAGCTTTGATCTCTCAAAGATTTCATGATGGACTACGTTTCGACCTTCGAATTTGAAAAACATACTCCTTTTTGTAACCCCCAAAGGTTTCATCATGTTAAACAACTCCAAAATATGGAAGCATTCTATTACGACTGCACTAATTATTGCTTATGTAAGGTGTTGCTCTTAGATATGGCGAATACCTCATAGTAATACAGATATCGGAAGCGGGCAAGGAAGTACCCCTAAACTGTGGTGACATCCCCTCCAGTTCAATTAACACTGCAATGGAGCGACTCCTGATTCTTTTTTGAGGTTTCATTGTCAATCTAAACCACCCCTCGCACTAAATACCGTTCTCTGAGGCGGCATAGCTTGGGCCACATTTTAGCAGGATGCCTTTCTTGAAGGCACGTCGATATTGAGCTCAAATGATCACCCTATCTAGAGCTATGTTATATCTACAGTACCATTGCTGTCATAGTTGGTAGCATGTAGCCCATCTTACAGAAATGCTTCTGTAATATACTTAATAATCCTGAGATTTCTGCCACCCGTTCACCCATGAGACGGTCACCCACCGTAATTCTTAGCTTTTGTTTTCTGAATGCTCTCTCAATAATGACTTCTCATTATTCCTTTTATATTTACCGGCTTTGAAACCCATCAGTCTTCCCACCCATCCGTTTGCATACTGCTCCAATGGGTCAAGAAAACGTCCCCATTGTTTCATTGGGCTTGCTACTCAGTTTGCAGATCAAGCACGTATGTGGCTGGGGCCCCTTTGTTGCTGCCACACCCCTACCCATACCTACATGCACTAATACCCCCTTTTGCCTACCTGAGAATCGAACGTAGGCATTTAAAATGGATAAAGCAGGCGAATGAATCAATATAAAAGAATAAAGATAGATCTTCAGAAAGAAATTGTGCGAGAAATCAAAACGAAAAAGAAACCAATTTGAAAGATGAGACCGAAAAAGGAAAATAATGGACCCCAACAAACTGCAGACTTACTTCATAAGGAGTGATCTGAGCATAGCTCTGAGTGGCCTGCAAGAATTCCTCCTTCGTCAGTTCAAGGTCCAAATTACCTCTGGCCAAGCTCAAGTAAACTCGTTTGATGAGCTCCATTTTCGCCAACAAGCTGTTGAATGCGGCATAGTAGGGATAGGAGACCTGAAAAGTTCCGAGTTACTTGGCTGTAAGATTTTCCACTCATTCGGAATTTTTTTGAAGCTCGTAAGCAAAGACATCCACTGAGAAAGATGATGGAAAAACAGAGGAAGCACTTTCAATTAAACAAAAGACAAGGACATTAAAGACTGTCCCACAGGGGAAAGAAATCGGTATGACCAGTTAGGTTGTTCATTAAATAAATCTTGACCTGGACTCATCTTCAGTATAAGCGCAACAAGCACTTCTATTTACTATTCTGGCTTATGAATTTTAACCACAAAGACTCCTTCGATAGCGGTCCGTTCTATACAGCTGGCCCTAAGACTGGCCTATGGATAGTTCAATACTTAAAGCAAGAGCGGACCGCACCGGACGAGGATTCGGGTTAAAAATCCTATTTCTCCTGACTATTGAGGCATGGCAAGAGTACAGGGTTACAACTATTTCAAAAGGCATCTTGCGAAAACAACAGAGGACTGTTTCCTGGAAAAAAAACGAAAGAAAAATGATGCACGTTCTGTATTAGTGCGTAGCATTGGGGGTGTGCCGGTTACAGGACCGTTGTCAACCGCGTGTGTAGTGACTCAGCGTTTTTGTCGTTTTCTCTGAGTCTCCCCAAATAGGCATCTCGCTGCGAAGAGGATAGAGGGCAGACGAAAGAGCTCACAGGAACGAAAATTCAGTCCGGCACTCGGTTCTTACAGTAATCTGGCACGTGTTAATACGCAAATTTTTACCCGTCACATATACGACGCGTCGAAAAGGGGCTTCGGGCAAGGACGCGGGACACAGGATACTGTAAGAGCCGAGTGCCGCACTGAATTTCCATCTTAGTAAAGAGCTCGCCATACCTCGATGCCTCCTATTGCCAGTGATACAATAGGATACCTAGCGAAAAGATTGAGTCAATGGTGTTGCAGATCTACAAACGTTATTGTTGATCTCAGCGCTGATTCCCATAAAAACAAAGTAGCAAATAAGAATAGGTTGCAAACTTAGGTTTTCTACGAGCTATACAGGTTTTTCTCGGTGTAGATGTTCTATGCAGACGTTTTATTAATATTTGGACAAGGACCAAGCCTTTCCTTCTCTCAGATTACCTGAACTTCAAAATACGAAGTTTCCATAGTTGGGAATAGTCTGTCTTTCTGAAAATTCGACTCTTGACCCGTTCGAATATCTATTCTTGACGAGAGAGCGCTCTGAAGGAGAGTACGGACAACGAACGGACACGCCCTCCTCCCGTTGGTGAACGCGAGACGCAGAGATTGCATCGCCGTCTGATTCTCTCAACGAGAGAAATTCCGGTTGACAACAGCCCTGTAACCGGGTGTGCCAAGGTTGTTGCAAATTACGGTAATCCCATTTTTGCACAAGGAGTCCCTCAAAGTTCCGGGACATTACTTTATTCTATTCTCTAATCTCTTTTTTACTTTGGGAGTTATGTGGGAGTTCCTTTAGTTCGCTAGAGACCTACTTTCTATTCTATGTAAAGTCTACCTAACTGGGAGCTTATTCTTCCCTTGCTGGGTTAGTCAATTATCCCCATACCTGCGGCTCAGTTCGCATCGACACTGTGCCTATATCCATTCACCTTATTTTTGATAATCGGCTTCAAATGCTACGGCCACTCTGACATTGTTCCCATGCTTGCTTTTTCTGCGTCCACCTCTTTCTATGTCATTATTACGCAGTAGAAAATCCTAATCCTTAGATTTTCTCTTCCCGAAGACAGACACAACGAGATAGAGAAGAAGGTTGAGGAGTCAGGTTCCAAACTTCCTAGGGTGCCTCTGCAAACACCGAAAATCATCATCTCCGGCTCTTGAGCACCTTTTTCATCATCTTGTTCACCTGTTTCTGCATTCAACTACTCGTCATGCTTATACTGAAAATGGTATTTTCTAGAGGGCACTAGCTAAAGCATTGCTACGCTACACTTATAGGATAGAAATTCTCAGATATGGCCATGATGAGAGATTCAAGCAAAGCTTTTCTCTTCGTGTTAGGACTGTACCTTGAACCATTTTGGATTCCATTAAAGGATTCCAATTTTAAGCGGTGAAACTCACTTTACCACCAACCAAGTCCGGGAACTGAAAGCGACAAGACAATCTGCAAAGCAGTAACCGAAACGAACACCAAACTGATATTTCGTCTATTCATGCATGTAACATTGCGGTGTGGGAAAAGCCGTCGAGTAGTGCCTAAGAAATTGCCAGCCAATCAGAGGTTCGCCGCCATCTCGGTTTCAGGCTGGCCAGCCTACCCTAGCCAGCCCCGCCCACACCTCAGTACGACTAATCTCTTCCGCTTTACCTATTTTGTTGTGCCCATTCTATTTGAAACACGATGATTGACAGCATTCTTCGATAGCTGAATGTTGGAAGCCCTTCTTAATCAGGCTACCTTGGTGTGAAAGACATACCTTATGACCGCTGGCTGCACCACCAGAAACTGCAACCAGATTGTTACGAACGAATTCTGTCAGTAGATGACCTTTGACGGTTTTCATGATATGTTGGAAATCCAATGAGCTGATAACACCTTCTCCTTTCTTATCATACCTTAAATGAACTTCGATGGTTTTTTTTTATTGAGGGTACAATGATGATAATAAAGAGTAAGTAAAACTAACTGGTAGTCGAAATGATGCTCAAATAGATTAAATAACGATAGCAACCGTGGTGGCTAAAAAACTGACCTTTTGAATGCCTGCTGTCCTTGCTCTTCATAGAAGTCATGTAGAAGCTGGCAGAATGCATGATAGTTGATACTCCTCTTTTTATCCCTGGAATTAGATCCAATCGGAAACCAGGTCAACTCCCCTCTCCTCCAAGATATGCTGTGCATCGAATTTCTTTTACATAGAAATGTGGATTTTTGAAATTAATAACTTTAATTTTTCGATAACCTTCCACCCAAAAGGAGAAGCTCGACCTCAGCTGATAGAGGTGGTACCTTTTTTTCGTCAAGTTTAGAACCGATCACTTCAACGGCACCAACTCAAGGAGAAAATATGTGGAGTTCATGAAGGAGCTTCCTGGGACAGGATGCTTTGAGGAACCCAGTGGCCGTTAAATCACCTTCATCGAAGAATTATTCAACTACCTCATTCAAAATTTGAAAATCAGTTTAAAAATTTCAGTTTACCCATAAGAAACTCACGCGCCGAAGTATTTTTTGATGAACTCCGAATTGAAATCGAAGTCCATGTCGTACAGTGGTTGTGTATGCCGGATAACCGCTTCGAACTCATCGCAAGTGATTGAATCGCTGGCATTTCGATCAAAGAGTTCGAATGCAGTCAAATAAAGGGCATCAGGGCTAAATACGGAGCGGTGTGACAGGAAATGTAGTTCTTCAAGGTACAAAAAAGTGACAGAATTCTATGTCTCGGTCCTTATACGACTTGGATGGAACCTTTCATTGGAAAGATAAGTAAAATAAAGTCCGTGAAGTCTACTACCTACCTGCAGAGCAGTGCTTCGAAAGCACAAAACTCTTCAAACGAAATGTCACCGTCCTTGGTGGTATCAGCAGCCGAGGCAAGTAATCGAACGGATTCGCGATTATAGTTCTCCTCTGTGAATAGGCCGAGATATCTGAAGTCATGAATTCAGTTTCCTGGGCATTGAAAGGTGGAAAATGATGGAGGGAATATTCCCTGAGCGAGATCCTTGATACCCTAGAATAGGTGGCAGTTTATATTCAAAGCGGGCAAAGGATACTTATTTGTCTCCCTCATGCTAGGGCTTCAAGATTTGGATGAAATTCAGGCATACAGTAGTACACGTGTGCAGGGTCTTTTTCATCTTATCTGTAAGAACAAAGTTTGAGCTGACTAAATGGGTGGGCTTGTCAGCCACGCCCCTCCCCCTTCACCATTAAAGCGCTCCCGCTCTTGCATTTTGAGTACGACACGCCCAATATCAGGGAGCCAGGCGTTGCTAGACAACTCCGCCCACTCTATTACCTCTGCCATAGACTCTCAAAAAAATTCTGGAAGAAAAGCGTTCCCTGCCAATAAGGGCGAGATTATTTGAATAGGTCGTTCATTGGAGTATACGGTTTGTATAATATCTGGAAGGAGGTGAAATGAATTGAAAACAACTTAAGTCTGAAAAACGCTTACTTTCTAATAAAATCTTCTGATGTCATGTATTTCTGCCCATCTGCTCCTGTTTTGGATGCAAAACGTTCGAAGATTGGACGTAGAACATCAGGATTTGCACGTGGGATGCCGCCTGAGTAAGACTTATGTCTTTCGAATGCGTATTGATTAGTTCCATAAAACCAGAAACTTGAAAGAACTCACTTCTTATTGCCAGCGCCATTTCCGCATTACAATGAGCTGTTCGAAACGGGTTAATTCGAGGAAGTATCGAGGGAAACTGTAACATACTAGTCTTTGGAAAGTGTTTATTACCCCTTTCTGCTTTACAAATATGTTACTTTTATTTTTTTGTCTCGCTTTTTGAGGACACATTAAAATCTGCTTAGTAGGGTCGAGATGAGCAATTGCTTACAAGCTTCCTTTGGTGACCCATGAATCTTGTAGGCTCTGATTTAGAGCCTGTTAGATCCTTTATCCAACCATGGGATGTATTGTATTATAAATTCACGAACTATGAAAGCAGTGTTGTCAAAATACGAGTGTGTATCAAACAATCTACAACGTTTCAAGAATCAAAATCTAAATACAAATTGAGCATTAGGTCCTGGTAAAACTGTAGATGGGGAAGAGGGGGTATAGGCACCGTGCACCTCTAACACATGCTACAGCTCAGAGATAACCCCTTGCGGCCTGTAAGGAGGCTTAGGAAGGTTTCGTAGCCAGGGTGACGTAGTTTTTAACCTAAACCTCGGAAAAGGAAGACCACCGGGGTTGCTGGGATGAATGTCTCAAGCAAAAGTGGGTAGGAGGAAGAGTTGAACATCAGCTGACCATGGATCCATTTATATCGAAAAGTAAGCGGTAGCGTGTATTCCTGCTAAAAGACCCCTCACCCATAGTGGTGCTCTTCCCCCATCCGAGGCGTAGGTTGAAGCTATATTCCCCTTAGTGAGAAGCGTTCCTAGGCATCATTACTTGCTGCCGAAGCCGGCCGGCCCTACTTCTCTGTACTCTAAAGCTCAGTGTTAGAAACGAAGGGTGGCTCTTCCTGACTGCAAATCACCAAAAATCCTTGAAATCAG